AAGGATCTGTACGCAGAGCAGGGAACAGCCAAAAGAGTTCGCAAACCGACAAAAAGATATATTGAAGAACTTTCAGAAATAGAAGAAACTAGTGAGAAGTTACCATCTTCAGATAAAGTCTCCAGATACAGATTTCCATGTACAGAATCTCTTATGAGGCCCACCACAATTGTTAGGTCAAACGCGAGACCTCTCTTCACCAGGCAAGATTCTCTAGGTGGTTCCGGTGTTCAGATTCCATTTGTTTCTCGGATTCGAAGGAGCCGTCCACGTGAGAACTTCACATCTCTTTTGGTAATACAAGTATCTTACCTTATAGACATATAATTGTTTACATTGATATTCCTAGTATATATTTGCATAAGGACATATAACTGTTTCAGTGGGTATAATACATAGTGCATTCAAACTCCCATATATACCATGTAGACATGATTTCATATTCTGTCTACCTAAATGAAAATGTTGGTTTATATGCTTGCAATGCTGCTATTCTCTTCTTCCTTGCGTACATTATTTCAGTTCAGTTTGAAATGCATTTATCCGACGATTCACCGTTTACATTTACAGCATAGTGTGTCTTTTTAAGGGCTTGCACTCAATAAATCTGTAATTTCTATATAAAGCTGTTGAATCATCTGTCTTCCAAATCAAATTATGTGGTTCTTATACTTTTAAAGTATTTTCGGCTCCAGTGTCGTGCTACTATGGCTGATGGAAAGATTAGCTTTTTTCCTCTGGCTTATTGATGTACTTCAAGTTAAATATTGCAGAAACTTCAGCCCAGTGATATGGACATGGCAACCAGACAAGTAAGAAGTGTTTTTGATGTATCTGGGCCACAAGAAGATGATAAGAGAAATAATGACCTGATCAAGACCAGCTCAACTCCTCCTGGGTTGACTAAACAGCCTGTAAATAGCTTACAACTTTCATTTTCTACTGCTTGCCTCTAAATTCTGTGCAATTTTCGTTTTATCAATACTTACAATATTACTTTATTTAAATATTGCTACCTCTATCCTGAAATGATTGTCCCTTTTTTTTTCCTGGTCGAGAAAAAAATTGATTCATGACTGAGACTTTTAAATGTTTTTCCTGTCATTTTTAAAATAGAAAGAATGGCAACTTCGTATTTTTCTCTAGAATATATTTCGAGATATTTAAATTTTTATTTCCAAAATACAAATTAAAACAAGTTCAACTTTATTTGGGAAGCCTGTTATCCTCGAAAGAGAACAAGTTTATCTGTGTAGGAGAGGGACTAATTTAAATGTTCTCTGTGTTCCTCTAATAATCATCTAAAATAATTTTTCTTTTTAGCCTTTGCCTTCAAATAAAACTAGATATGATTCTCTTTTTAGTTTTACGAATAACATCATTATTTTTTTCCGGTTGGCACACGTCATTTGGATTGAGTAATTCTCTTATATCCTGCAACCATGCAACTCTTGCTTAGCTTTCTTTTTGAGTGTAGAGCAAGACTACTTGCATGTTATTTGTCACCTTTAAAAGTCATACTACTGTTACAGAGTACTTTTAAAAAGTGTTTCAGATTGCCTTGGTTGTGATTTTGAATGATTGTGTTATTATTAAATGCCAATTTAGCTTTTTTCTCGAGTTTATATTATTAGTTTTGCATTAGTAAAGGTGCACGCAAGCTGACTCTGACATCACCATTATAAAAAAGGATCATTAGTTGTACTTGCCTTTGTAGTTGTAACTTATTGTTTGAGAGATTATTTGCAAGTAATAAAAAAATTATCATGTATTTCTCCCTGAGAAAAATACCAGGACAGTCCCTTAAGTAGTTAAAGTTACGGGTATAGGAATATTTTGATCCCTTATATATACTGCTGAAGATAAAACATCCCTTAAGTCTGTAAAAGTAGATAGCTTTAGTCCAAGCTATAACAGTGTTACTAAAACCAACTGGAGAAGACACAAACTAACAGCACCATCTGTTATAAGGAAACATATAGAAGACTGAGAAAACCCTTTTCTCCTTAAACTTGCTTGTTATTACTTGTTACAAACTCATTTCTGCGTATAGGACATAAAAAAGATTCAAACTGGTAATAAACCAGGTTAAATTTTCATTTTAAGTCACTTTGAGATTAGAGTATTTTATTATTAAAATAAATGATAATTGGTCTAATATAACTCACTTTTCTTAGAATGGAAACTTTTCGAATTGGAAAAGTCAGACCAAAACATATTTGATCAAAACTTGTTTTCTTTTTTTCATTTTCCAATCTCCATGGAACCAATCTCTGGCTCATTGTACTGCTTTCCTTGTCAATTAGTTTCGTCCTCATGTTGAGTCAATTTTGTTGTATATATTTTGGCTGTTGTCTCTCTCTCTCTCTCTCTCTCTCTCTCTCTCTCTCTCTCTCTCTCTCTCTCTCTCTCTCTCTCTCTCTCTCTCTCTCCATCCGAAGTTTAAATTGATGAAAATATATTGTGGCACTCCTGTTGTTTCTTAGCTTATTGCTGCTTGTGAGAAAGACGAGCATTACAGTGGGATGAGAATTGTTGAGCTAGAGAATGACATGGATGAGGACAATTCAGATGATAACGTGGAACTGAGTGACGGCTTTGAGAACAACTCAGATGATAATGTGATATCTGTACCCACCCCAAAAGGAGGAACGCGGAGAAAACATCATCGACCTTGGACTATCGATGAGGTTGTTAAGTTAGTTGAAGGCGTAGCCAGGTATGGTGCTGGTAGATGGTCTGAGATAAAGCGGCTTGCTTTTGCATCTTGCCCTTATAGAACTTCGGTGGACCTGAAGGTTGGTATTGACTTGTGCATTTAGTTGAATCTAATCAGCCTTCAGGATCATTCAAAATAAATTAGTCTATCACTGTTTTGTACATGTGATGAAATGCTTCAAATTACTGATGTATTTGCAGGACAAGTGGAGAAATCTGCTGAAAGCTAGTTTTGTGCAGTTGCCTGCAGAAAAAGGGGTTAGCATTATTAGAATTATTATGCAAGTTGTTTCACAGTCCCCAATGATTTTATCAAGACTTCATTTAATATTTTTGAAAATAAAAAGAGAGTAAGGTGGTGCGGTTTGTTTTTGAATCTGTTAACAGTTAGTCTTGTCATTTTACCCCCCACCCAATTTATGGAAGCTAGAGGGACTGACCGTAGTATCCTTCTTAACATCATACTTGTAATGGAACAGATGCTGAATTCCCGGAAACAGGCTTCAGTTCCGATCCCTGCTCCAATTCTCTCACGTGTGAGAGAGCTTGCTGATATGCAAGGCCAGTTCCAACCAATTCTCAGTACCGGCAAGTCAAGTGGACATATTAGTGGTAGAAGTGTAAATGAAGCTAGGTCTGGATACCTGTAGTTTCAACACCAAAGGTTTGTTTTTGGAATAAGCCTGATGTTGATGGGCTAACAACTTACTGGCCACTATATTTCATGTGCTATGTTGCTTTTTGTGTTTTTAACCTTCTGTACACAGATTTTGCTTAAAATTCTTAAAGTCGATCAATTTTATTTTTTGCCCACATATAGGTGATAAAAAGTTAGCAAGACTGCTGCTCGTGCTTAAATGGTTCCAGTTGGTCATATCCCAGCGAGCATTTCTCGCCCTATACCCCACAAATTGTGGTGCTAGCCCCATTTTTAAGTAGTGATTTTAAATATCATATAAAAAAAGTGCTTTTCCTATATGTTTTACGTAGATGACTGAGAAGATACTTAACGCATTGTCTCCTTGGAAAACAAAGGAACATCAGATTTGTGAGAGGATAATATTGACAATTATACCTGCATAAGAGGAAGGTGGAGATATTGCCAGAGAACTTGGGAAAGAAACAGTTGATGCTTTTCATATTAACGATGAGAAAGTGAAGCAGCTGCATCAAAGTATACTACCCTTCAGGCTAAAATCAGTTATGAGCTTCATTTTGCAAAATCTCTATACTAACATAAATTTAGCAATCTTATCGTAGACAAACGTTTGATATTTCAGTGGAGAAGGATAGAGAAACGGGTTTTTATTATTCACTAAGTTTTGCATTGTGCGCTATTGATACACGCAATGTTATAAGAAAAACGTAACATTTTTTTGGAAACTTTATCAGACGGTCATAACTTTATGTTAGATAAATCATTAAAATATTTTTCATCTAGAATGTATATTAGGGTGAGTCAACACTTTTGTGCTGAAAAAAAGAAGTTAACAATGTGTGGGTCGTCGGAAGCTTGTCATCTCTTTTATTTTCAGATAATTTTTTTTTTGAGCAATATTACCCAGAATTGAACTAGCAAGTACAGCTGATCTCTTCTCCCACCCACGAATAAATAATAAATAAATATAAAAGAAAAACAAAAAAAATTAATGGATCTGAACTGCCTTAACTATTTCATTTTTTCATTCATATGAAAAAGAATGGCAGAACTTTAAATCTAGAACTTATAGCAATATATACCAAAACAAAAATCAAAAGGTAAAGTGATGTTATAAATTTTTGTTTGAAACAATTGTGAAATTTTACTCACTTCCTGTATCCGCTTGCAAAAGGAAAAATCTCATAAAAGTAAGATGGAGATAAACTCGCTAGTTAAAATAAGCCGTTGAATCTATATGATTATTTAAGTATTTTACTTCTCAAGACGTAAAATACTAATGCTTTTATTTGTTTAATTTATATAGCATATGTTATTTTTATCAATAAAAAATATTTTGTAGTTCGAAGCAATATTTTATTGCCTTTATATTGTTAAAAAACTGAAATTCTATCTTGTTTTTTCGTTCCCGTTATAGATTCATAATAAAATCTATGTATTTATGAAGATTTTTTTTTTCTTCTAAAAATCAATTCAATTATAGTAAGTTCGATCGATTTTTATTTTTTATTTTTTAAAAACATTTGCCACTTTGTACAATGTTGACTGAAAATTTCCGGGTCAGATAGTGTAATTACGAAAAACATGAGTGTACAAAGTTAAAATTGAAAATCAGGGCCCTAAGTTGACATATTCTTCATTCTGAACCCTCCTCCCGGCTGTATCGCATTATTCTTCTCCCCATCTTCTTTTACTCCCAAAATCACTGTATTCGCCGCGAAGCAGCAGCCGGTGGCCGGTCGCCGGAGTCTCGTAAGAGATACTTAATTTCATAGAACTTTTAATTTATGCTTTTATTGCAAATCCTAATGTTTCGTATTTTGCTGATTAACGAATTAAATTTTACTTAACATCGTCACAATTTAACTCATAATGTTCTGGATTGAGTTTCTCTGGCTAAATGGAATCTATTGAAAAATTCAATCCAGATGAGCTTTAGTTAATATTAGTTTGTTAGGTTATTTGATATTCAACATCTCTAATAATTATCTAGTATTGATTTTCTGACTATCAAGAGTATTAATCGCACAGCTCATTTTGTTTGTTGTATCTTGGATAATTTCGGCTTTTACTGAGAGTTTTTCCTATGTATATCTAGTTGATTTGCCTCAGAGTTTCATGTTACTGTTGCCTATTGTCTGATTTCTTTCATTAATTAGTATAATTACTTTAATCAACTTTATGTTCACTCCTCAATTTCGAACATTTTGTATTTGGTGGTCTGAAACAAGAGATGGAATTTGAAACATAATAAGTCCCATTTAAGTCCGATCTTTGCCTGGGTGGGCAGAGGTACTGTGCTGGCGGGAGTTGCATGTACCCCGTGGAATAATGGAGGTGCATATAAGCTGGCCCGACATCATCATCATAAAAAAAGTCCGAATTTATGTCCTTGTTGTTGTTGTTGTTCATCAGGTGACCATGATTCGGGCTTATGATTTCTAGCTCTAGATTTAGCTCTTTATAGCACAGGCAACCATTTCTCTCTGCATTAGTTCCATTTTTTTAATTACCTTACACCTGTGATGCGGATGACCTCAGGTCCCAGGCATTATCAACCATTTGAAATCCGACTTGGTCTGTTGACTACAATTTCTAGAAAGAGTAGTTCTTTTCTGTGTGTACTTTTCTTTGAACATCTCTTTTGTCATGGGACTGTCTGTTGGACTGAATTTTGATCTTTTTTCTGCTGTTTTATGTGCAGATAAGCTAGAGAACCATGGGGATCATAGAGAAGATCAAAGAAATTGAGGCCGAGATGGCAAAAACCCAGAAAAATAAAGCAACTGGTAACTGCCATAGTCGTATTGCTAAAGCCTTATACCTTCTAATGAGTCTTGCCATATAATATTGATGTAGAAATTTAGTTTCACTTTGAATTTAGATGTAACTTAGACAAGAACTTGTTGTACCAACTAAGCCACCATTAGGCATCACCGCATCACCATCAGTGAATCCTTGTTGCCACGCAGTCCTGTCCACATTAATCGACATACAGGCTCAGAAGGCCTCCTGAGGGTCTGTTCAGCGATGATAGAGCAAACATTTAAAAGGATTTTAGTCCTCCAAAGGAAACCAACTTCTCATGGGGACATCACCGGGATATTCAACATTCAGAAACAAGAGTGCAAAGCAGGAATTTTGACAAAATAAGAGCACTCTTTGTTGTTTAGCACATGATCATATTTGTTTGAGGTGTAACTATTTGTTATATGTTTATTCTTATATATAGAAGAAAACTATTTGTCACATTTCTAGGTATCCTTGGAAATTCATTCTTGCGCTCTTAATTCCTCTGTGATAGAGGATCTTGTGTGAACACCTGTCTGTTTATTGAACCTTTCCCTAAAATTGTCTTCAGAAGCTTAATAATCGACTTCAACTGTGTGATGCAGAATATCATTTGGGTCAGCTGAAGGCTAAGATAGCAAAGCTGAGGACACAATTGTTGGAGCCCCCCAAAGTATGATTTTTGGTATTTCAACTGTTAATTTGGAGTGTCAATTTTCTGTTATCTTTGATTCATCGAGTTTCCGTGATATAATTTCATTCTATAGTTCCTTATCAATAAGAAACAGTTGTGCTATAGTAAATTTCCTTTTCACTGGCGACCACCTTTTCTCGTCCTGTTCTTTTCTTCTTCTTATAGACAGAGTAATAACTTTCTGATTATGCTGGTGTAACAGGGTTCTAGTGGCGCTGGAGAAGGTTTTGAAGTTACGAAGTTTGGCCATGGACGTGTTGCACTAATAGGATTTCCAAGGTTGGCTGTTTCCCTTTTTTTGTGTTTTGTGACTGGTCATGAAGGGTTTAATTCTCATCAGGAAAAACAATTTCTAAAGCATTTCATATACTCTTAGTTCTTGATAGTTTATGTAATTGGATCATTTAATTTCTTTTGGTCACTTTTTACATTTTTCATTTCCATCCTTGGTCCCGATATACTTAACGTTAGTAACTCTCTTTTGGATTAGTATATATTTACCGTTAGTAGCTTAAGATGCTGATGCACTTTGATGTGAGATTCGGCACGGGAGAACATATATTAATGATGAGGATCCACCTTTTGCTTCATTACCGAATTGTCTGCACTTAAGTTGTAACTTAAGTTATCAAAAAGCATAAAAAAGGAAGTACTTAATACCTAAGACATATTAACTTATCCTATTTGGTAAGGTGGTACATGATTTTCTTTAGTGTCACTTAACTGCCTACTTCCATGGTGTCTTAAACTTCTTTACTTTTTCTTTTTGACAGTGTTGGAAAGTCTACACTCCTTACAATGTTGACAGGAACACATTCCGAAGCTGCATCATATGAGTTCACAACACTTACTTGCATCCCTGGTATTATCCATTACAATGATACTAAAATTCAATTGCTTGATCTTCCGGGAATCATTGAAGGTGCATCTGAAGGAAAGGGGCGTGGTAGACAGGTATATTGAAGCTGGTATTAGCAATTTGGCAATGAATGTATGTTGTATGGTTGTGATTTCAACCTCTGAAAAGTAGTCATTTTGAACAGGTCATTGCTGTTTCCAAGTCTGCAGACATCGTATTGATGGTTCTTGACGCTTCAAAAGTAAGTGTTGGTCATTTGTTTCTGATAATGGGCCTATTGGGGTTTATGTTCTCCTCTTTGTGGTCATATTCTTTTGGCTAGAATTACTCCTCATCTCTGCTCAAGCTCAGGTTGTACTAAATTGAGCTCAGCGGAGCCCGGCTTGGTTCTTGTAGCAATGTCAAGCTAAAGCTTGGCTGAGTTGCCATGGAGGGAATTGTCTATCCATCAGTGAAAATGTCATAGTTAAGAACACAAATAACTAGAAGGAATGAAGCCAGTCTGAACTGGTGGATGGTCCCTCTCTCTAGTTGTTCTCACCTATTAAAAAAATTAACCACGTACAGTAATACAATGCAAAATTTTCAAACAAAAATAGTACTACATGACCCGGCAAAAAATAGCATGTTGCAGTCTCCAGTCTCACTATTAAAGGAAAGAAACAGAAAAACACACACAAACACAATATTTTACCAACAACAACAAACCCAGTATATTCCCACAAGTGGGGTAAACACTATTTTACCAAAACCACAAAAAAAAAGGCACACGGTTAAAAGTACATTTAGGTCCCGTTTTCATTTACAGCAATAAACTCGAACAATTATCAACATTTCATTACCTGTTAAGCTAAGTTTAGTCTTGTTTTCATTTCCAGCAATAAACTCGAACAAATATCAACATTTCATTATCTGTTAAGCTAAGTTTAGAACTATGTTATCTCTCTGTTCATGCGCCTTCTGTTAGGTGATGCTTTTTTTCTTGATTCTCTTGACTCTTAATTAAATATACAACATCAGAGTGAAGGCCATCGGCAAATATTAACAAGGGAGCTGGAAGCTGTGGGCCTGCGACTAAATAAGCGACCTCCTCAGGTGATCCATTATGCTTATTATCCATATTTTCTGTCCCTTAGTTTCTAATAACATATATATTTCTTTTAGTTTCTAATAACATATATATTCCTTAGTCTAATTTTCTCTATCTGGTTTTAGTTTCTAAAGAATTTCACATGTTTATGGAAGATTTTCTCAATGATTATTCACACAGCTAGCCTGCCACATTATTATCAAATGATTTTATAGCCGAGTTCACCTTTATAAATCTATGCTATTTTCTGTCTGACAGCAGTTTGCTATAAAATGTTCTTTTTACGATATTCCTGTGTAGAAAAGACCTTTTCGTGGTCTTTAAAGTGTTAGTGTAACACCCATGCAGTCATTGGTAGTGTATTTTCCGATAGACAAGATTGAACCTCAGGTCTTAGCTTAAATTGTCCAACGGTTGCAGATATACTTCAAGAAGAAAAAGACTGGTGGAATTTCTTTTAACAGCACTGTGCATTTGACACATTTGGATGAGAAGCTATGCTATCAAATTCTGCACGAGTACAAGATTCACAATGCTGAGGTATTGTAGAATAACATGGCGATTTCATCATTTTCAAAACTCCTGTTTGAATATTTGCTTCTGCTTTGATTCCCTACATTGTAGTAATTGTTCACCTTTCCAGCTGTTATTTCGTGAAGATGTTACGGTGGATGACCTAATTGATGTTATTGAGGGAAATCGTAAATACATGAAGTGCATATATGTCTACAACAAGATAGATGTTGTTGGTATTGATGATGTGGACAGATTATCTCGACAGCCGAACTCTGTTGTCATCAGTTGCAACTTGAAGGTACTTAAAAATTTCTGGAATTCTTTTGAATGCTGGTTGAAATGAGCTATAGCTCATTTTGGTGAACCTGAAAGCTCATAGCTATGTCTAATTTAGCTGCTAGTGCTACTGTTATTTTTAATATGTTGGTTTTTGACATTTGCAAATTATATTTAGTGCTACCAAGATCAGATAACATATTTAATTTGAGCATTTTGTGTGCGCATTGTCCTATTGGGCTTGTGCCGGAAGTTAACTGCCAACTCATGATATTCTGTATATGAAGTCTTTCTTTTATGTGGCTTTGTAGAATTCCCTAGGCTTGGTTTGACAAGGCGTTGTCTCTCTCGCCTGTAGCTTATCCTTATGCAAATAACTAGAACCCTGTTATTTTCCCAGGGTTGCAAGATCCTTTCTAGTTGGTTCTTAATTTTGATGATGGTATAGAAAAAAAGATTTACTTGGGTTTCCTTGCCGAATTTGGACTTGAATAACTGTACAGCTGCTTCTGATTTTGGAGTAAGAGCAAATGATCTTTACATGCTGACATGCTTTTCAGATGTCTTCCACTGCCTTGGCTATATAGTTAATGATGTGTTTTTTCCCTTATACAGCTGAATCTGGACAGACTACTTGCAAAAATGTGGGATGCGATGGGTCTTGTCAGAGTTTATACAAAGCCTCAAGGCCAGCAACCAGACTTCACAGATCCCGTGGTCCTTTCTGCTGTATGTTATGTGGCACATTATGCTTGAATATTTTCTTCCTTGCCGTGCTCGGTTACTCTGGAAATTCTCAGTCTCTGGTCATTGATTGGTTAAGATGCTTGTGTTAAAGATAGTAATTTGAACAGTCTCAAATTCTTTTCTTTTCTTTTCTAAAATTCTGTTAATGCATCTCCATTGTTGTTTATGATTTTAGGATAGAGGTGGCTGTACAGTTGAAGATTTCTGTAATCACATACATCGGAGCCTTGTTAAGGATGTGAAGTATGTGTTGGTGTGGGGCATTAGTGCAAGGCACTACCCCCAGCATTGTGGCCTCGCCCATCTGCTTCAGGATGAAGATGTAGTTCAGATTGTTAAGAAAAAGGTAAATGACCGTGCTTTTCACATAGTTTTATAATTCTTCCAGCCACATATTCAATGATCTTTAAGTTTCAGGATCATATGGTAATTTACCTTTTCCTCAGGCAACATGTTAGCTGATAGTGTAAATTCAGTTTTGGCCTTAAAACATTCTGTCAGCTAAACCTGACAAGGCATTTAGCTTCTTTCTCATCTTATTAATTAGGAGCTTGTGTCACAAATTATGAGTGATCATATCAACCAAAGCACACATGATAGGGAAGTTCGAGCTAATGTACACTTTAAGTGGTGTAGCTTGGTGCCAATGTTATCGCACTAGGCGCTCCACACAGTTGTTGCCTGTGATACTCAAAAACATGTTCTGTTATGCAGGATAAGGAAGGGGAAGGTAGAGGCCGGTTCAAATCGCATTCTACTGATCCTGCTCGTATATCCGACCGTGTAAAGAAGGCTCCACTCAAGACTTGATTGACCCAAATAGTGGGGCTTTTAGTTCTATGTGCTGATCTTGAGGGTGTGTATGGGCTGCACGTAGACTATTGTTTGAAGAACAAGCTATACAATAAGAATAGCTTGGGGTTTTCTCAACTTTATGGCGTGAAGCCTATTTATCAGAAGAGGGTAGACGATTTCATTGTTGTATTCTGTATTTGATCATGTCACACTCTGCAGTCTGCAGTGTGTATAATATCTGGGCACATTCTTTCTTCCTCCAGATAATATTCACTGCTGCTAATAGTATTAATGTGCTATAGAAAGTTTTGGTTTCAGTTCCTAAAAGTGTTTAGGTGAGAATAAGTGGATTTCTTAGCTTCATGTTATCTCCATCAGTAACTTCATGTTAAGTGTTTAGATTTTTCTTTTCTTCTTTGGATTTGATAAACTTGGGATTCTTCTTATAAATCGGCCTTTGAGCCACACAATCACAGTTAATCTAAACCAAAATATGGATTAGCTTCAGTTGCTAGTACCTAGTGGTAGCACAAATACATGATTGACCTATTCTTTTATCAATCCAATATTTAAACTCCACGGCTTCTTATTAATTTATGTTTTTTTCTTAAAACTGGAAGGAATGGTTTCTAAAGAAGAGAACAGTAAAGAATATTCAAGAAGTAGATCCATGTTATACCAAATTCAAGAATTATATTTATTTATCTTTTTTGGCTTTGTCACAAAATATTCAGATCCGTCATTTTTAGGGATCTTTTGGTATCTGGGTTATCCGAAAACTGTTAGGTAGATATTGATTGTAGTACGGTGAATAAATAACATAGATATCATTATCCAGTCCAGTGAATAGCATTACGGGGAACATTATGTAGGGATATTAGGGCTGTTCATTCGGATCCGATATCCGAAATCCGAACCGATCCATTCAATTTTGAATTTCGGATTTCGGATTGGATCGGATTTCGGATTATGTTTATTAAAATTTCGGATTTCGGATTAGTATATTTTAATCCAATCCAATCCGAAATCCGAAATTATTAGGACATGTATAAATACTACACTTTAATTTACATCAACCTCCAAGTTATTACCTTTACAATTGCTAGATTTAGCTATATTGGCACCATAGTACTCTCATAATTGCATAAACATGAATTTTTCTTAATGTATTGCCTCTTTTACAAAGAAAATAT